ACATTGGCGCGGCTTTATCGCGACGTAAACTCGTTATTTGCATTAACGACGATTCGGCACGCGAAAAAACAAAGAAGGGACGAACGTAACTCCGTGATGTCATCGTTTATGGAACAATGTTTATCTTCGAATCGTTAACGTAACCGATCGCTGGATTTAGGGGGCGAGGGTTGTTTCAACCCCCGCGCCCGGAACTGGGCAGACGCGAGAGATATTTCGCGAATTTTGTATTTATAAATAACGCATTAAAAATATCCCGGTTCTGTTATTTCGTCCCCTCTGGTATGATATTTTAAAGAAGAGTCACGCAATTTTTACGATCCTGCGTGCATTTTCAGGGAGAGTGTGGGAGCTGAAATATTTTTTTTAGGGCGGGGATTAGGGGTGGGGAGTTATGGAACGGTGACAGCAGGTGATTGTGGGTTATCTAATTATATGCAGAGATTTTTTATTTTTTTTTTGTAAGTAGATAGAGGAATTCTAAGGCGAATAATTTGAAGAGGGACGAAGAAACGAAGGGATGTAGGAAATAGGGGTGAGAAATTCTTCGAAAAATATTCGTGTAGCAATATTTGTTTAAGTAAGGCGATATTTCGTTGAATAATTTTAACTGAAGTTTGACAAAGTAGAAATTAGATTCACTGAGAGTTTAACAAATTAGAAGTTAGGTTTACCAAGGTGTAATTAAATGCGATTCTAACTGAGGTTCGAGAAAATAGAAATTAGGTTCACTAAAGTTGAGTTAGAAATTCAGTTTACCAGGGTTTAACAAATTAGGAATAATTATAATTAAGGCTTAACAATTTAACAATTAGGTTCACTATTCTTTAACGAATTAGAAATAATTCTATCTAAGGTTCGACAATATGGAAATTGAGTTCATTAAAGTTTGACATATTAGAAGCTGTGTTTACCAGGATTTAATAAATTAGGAATAATTCTTACTGAAGTTCGGGAAAATAAAAATTAGGCTCACTAAAATTAAGTTTACTAGAATTTAACAAATTAGAAATAATTCTAATTAAAGTTTAACGAATTGGAAATTAGATTCATTATTCTTGAACAAATTAGGAATAATTCTAACTAAAGTTCAACAATATGTAAATTGGGTTCATTAAAGATTAACACATTAGAAGTTGGGTTTACCAGGATTTAACAAATTAAGAATAATTCTAACTGAGGTTCGAGAAAATAGAAATTAGGTTCACCGAAGTTGAGTTAGAAACTAAGTTTACCAGGATTTAACAAATTAAGAATGATTCTAATTAAGGTTTAACAAATTTAATTCGAACTACGGGTGAATAAACTAGAAACTATATATACTAAAATTTAATAAATTAAGAATAAAGTTTACTAATATTTAATGAACGAAAAATGATGTTTACCGAGTTTAAACAAATTACAAATCTCGTTATTAAAGCAACTATTAAAGCAAATATCAAAATATATCTTCGCCATTTTGAAACTAGTTGTACACGACTTTCTGATATCACGAAACCACAAAATTATTCACCACGACTAAGATCAATAATTAAAATAAAAATAGCAAACGATAATCGAAATGAAAACTAGATCGACGATCAAATAAATATCTGCCTAAATTTTCGATCGAAAAATCCGTGATAAAACGCGAGAAAAAGGCGAACGCAAAGAATGGGTGAGCTATTAAACGAGTTTAAAGGCATTGAATGGAATTTTACGATTTCCCTGCAATCTTCGGGGATCAACAGTAAATAGCGGAAGTACAAAGGGATTCAAAAGACACAGGGTCTTTCATTGCGCGTTTGTCGCGATACACCTTATGTACACCCCCTTACGTGTCTGTGTACGTGCGGTCCGTGGTGCGCATGTGTGTTGAAGTTGGCGAGAAAATCCACACGTATTGTCATTCCGTGCAGCGTGCAATAGCCTAAGTTGAATTGATCGAAACGACTTTTATGTGCCAAGGCTTTCACTTTGTGAATGGGTCTGGTCGATCCACCGTGTGTAGACACTGCTAACTCGCCTTTGAATTTAGCAGAAGGTTTACACTCCCTCCTGCTACGGTCCTGGCCCTTTTCTTTAACTTTCATCTCCTGTCCCTCTCTTTCTCTCTCTCTTTCTCTCTTCCTCTCTCTCTCTCTCTCTCTCTGCGTGTTTCATCCGACTGTGTTCGACAGATGAGTCCTCGTACAGAGATTCGACTCTCTGGTTGAGAAAACAACCCGGAGATCGAGCTTTCGTCGATCTTAATGAAAATCCTGTGTACCGTCCTGGCGGATCGAAAATATCCCACTGTATCGGCCATATTTGTTAATGGTGATCGACTGGTTTGTTGCATGTAATTTGATTGGATTCTCTTTAAAACTGTCATTTTGTTTGTTCATTGTGCTGTTTATTTCGGGGAGGAGTCGTGATTGATTGTTGTTTATTATTTTTCCAGGGAGCAGGTTGTCAGTTCGGTGTGAAATTTCGGATCCGATTATGAGGAAATGGAATTTTAAAAATACCTCTGATGGAATTACAGCGGGTTGAAAGGATTTTAAAGAGTGTCGTTTGAAAATTAAACGTGTCACGTGATGTTTTATTTCATTAAGTTCTTTTTTTATCATTCTTGTTAGACCATTTTATTAACGCTGGAACTACGAATCCAGTCGAAATGACTGGTCTGAAATTTTCCTCTTTGCAATTGTAATAAAACGTAGACCTGCTTTACTCCTATCGAGATGGAAATATATACTGTAATTAATATATTTATTTATCTTCATAATACCATTAATTATTATGAATATTATCTACGCGAGCTATGTTTAGGTATCCCATTAAAGATCGGTAGTTCCAGTGTTAATATTATTAAGGAAATCGTGGCATACTTGCTGTGTATTTTTATTCGACTTGTTTAACACGTTTAGTGCCCAGCCGGTTTTGTTTGCGGTTCCGTTCAGGCCCAAACTCGGCTGTCAAGTGGGCCATCGACGACGGGCGAAGTGTTTACAAAACTCGGAGATATTTTGCCGATTGTTGTAACAGGAATTCCCAAACGTTAGGTCTAAAAATGGCGAAGAATTTAACACCTTTTGGTCATAGTCTGGGACGGTCCCCAACGGAAAGTCTAGAGTATCGGTCCCCGAGGACCGGCCGGGCCCAAACGGAAAATCTAGTACCGATCCCCGAGGACCGGCTGGGCCCAAATAGAAAATCTAGAGTGTCGATCCCCGAGGACCGGCCGGGCCCAAACGGAAAGTTTAGTGCCGGTCCCCAAGGATCAACTGGGCCCGAACAGAAAGTCTAGTGCCAGTCCTTGGGGACCGGTGTGGCACTTAACGTGTTAATTAATCTGTACTAATAAATGCTACTCTTAGGCTAGTATTTCTAGCTATTGTATTTAATCGTACGTTAATACAGTAGTCGGTTAACTCGACTTAAATTTATTCAATTAAATTAAACGGGAGTGAATAAATGAAACCATATTGGACGACATGGGAGATGAAATGATAAAAACATGCAGTACAGTACAGCGATAAATAATTTAAAACTGCACAATGGATTATTAGAGCCATAAAACAATTTTATTGCAACTTCCGCGTACCATTCATTACGCTCTAAGCATTATCAAAATTCTGAAGCAACATGCATCGTTACTAACGGCGCATCAACAATTTTATCATACAGTTCAATATTTTATCACGTATCACGTTCCCTCTGAAGAGTATTAAAAGCGACGAAAAGATTCTTTCTGCGATATTATAAGCGATATACCAGTGGCTTTTAAATAATAGAGTTATAGGAATCAGTCTCAGAGATACCTAGATCTATTTGCTAAATTAAATGTTGCATAAATTCCTGCATTTTTCAAGAGATCTCGTGTAACGTGATAAGCTTTGTTTAAAATATTTTTCCACCGTTTGCATATTTGAAGGATCCTAACGAGAAGAATTGAAAATTTCGCGATTGTGTATCGATACGAGAAAATTGAACGAAAGGTACTAGATTTGGCTATAAATCATATAAATTATATAAATTAAGCAGAATATGGTATAACGCCAAAGTATGACAAATTAATAATACTATATTTCCACTATCAGTCCTGAACAATGGAATAATAATCTTACATTGCAAGATTAAATATTCGAAATTATGATAAATACGAAAGAATGCGAAATATCCAAAGTTAGAACATAAAATTTAACCTAATACTGTGGCATTGGTGATTGGACCCAGTGATTGCCATTGATGAGTGCTTGAAACCGTGTGATAGCGAAGAGAGAGAATGTTTAGACTAGATTATCAGTAGTGCGAGAAGGATACACGAGTTCTTAGAATCCACGTGGAATTTTTGGACCCTTGGAAGTGTGTAGTACGAGGGTACCGTCTGTATGGATATAAAAAGGGAAGCAAGGGATTAGTTGAGGAGTGTCAGAGAGTGTCAGGCATCAGAACAAGAGCGTCAAAAGAGTGTCGAGAGAATGTGAGAGGAGAGAGTATCAAGAGAGTGTCAGAAGAGTGTCCTGTAAGTGAGAGTTACGAATGGGCCGCATCCTAATTAATATAATAAATATTATTAAAAAGAAAGGAAAGCTCTATCCCTGATGCACCTATTCCTATGTCCCCTATTCTCATTCCGGATCTCACAAAACACGGATTCTAATATCACTGCATCCCTCACCAGGATCTAATTATTATCTCGAATAATAACCGATAACTGCACCAGCACGAAAAATCTCCAAATAAAACATAAAATTGAACCTAATACGTATCCATGCTTCCCTATCTCCAATTCCAATCTCACGAAACACGCGGATTCTAACATCACTGCATCCCTCGCCAGGATCTAATTGTTAACTCATCCCCGACATCTCGACAGCCCACAAACCAAGCACCCAAGGAACACCTGAACATATACACACGTGTATACTCGCATACATACTCTTTCCTGTCATCCATCACCGTACGCCCCAACAGATTCCCTGTCACATACAATTCCTCGATTCCAGATTGGTGAATTTCACAGCGCGGGCCAACCTGTCTTACATCCCGTTCGCGTCGTCGACAATTAGCCAGATAGGTTGCGGTCGTGCAATTTACACGGCCAGACCCGAGCAATCGACATCCAGCGGCGCAGACGTGGCTGAGAGTACAATGGCCGTCGGATTCGGGGATCGCGTGGAGGCCCTCGTGTGCAATTACGGCCCTCTCGATCGGAACACGCCTAGAGAGCTGTACGAGGACGGTGTGCCGGCTCTTTGTCCACAGGGGACGATCCGCAGCTCGCGATATCCAGCCCTCTGTCGTAAGTGTTTCCTCGCAGACGTGTTCTTGCCGCGGCAACGCGCGCGATTGTTGTCGCTTCCTCTCTGTCTCTCTGTCTCTCTCTCGCTCTTTCCTTTCCTGCGCGTCTTTCTCCGCCTTTCTGGCTGTCTCTGTCTCTCTCACCCCGGGCCACGCTCGTTAAGCGCTTCCTCGGACGACGAGATCTCGCCGCGCGGCGCTAGTATCGCTTTCAACTGCTGTTCGGATCGCTCGTCTCGCGGGAGACCGGTTTCGGATTATTCGACGTATGCTGGGTGGGTTAATTCCGTTTTCTTGGTATATTTTGCTAGTCGTGGATGGAAGAATGTGTGACGAGGAGGTAATAGAGTTGGAGATGGTGATGGGATGAAAAGGTTGACACGGTTTTAACAGCCGCGTGGAAGTCGGTGATGACTCGAGTCGAGCTTGTCAATAGCGGTATGGGGTTTTTTGATGACTAATTGCGTTGGAATTGGTCGAGGTATTGTAATATCGTAGGCTCTAAGCGAAAGAGGGCTATAAGAAAGAAAATGAGTGGACAGGACGAAAGCCAGACCCAATGGCCTGCAATATTTTTGGAGATCGGAGTGATTAGGGAAAGCTAGGAACAATCCTTTTTGAAAAGTGTTGTATAAATCATAGAGAATTGTCCTTTCGTTTTATATATATCACTGATTAACCAACGATTTTCTTTATGCAACCCTACTTTTAACTATATCCGGATGTTACTTTGATATTTGTCGAGGCTCGTTCGGGATTAGTTACTACGGTATTTATAACGAAGAAATTTCCTGTTCCTGATTAAATAATGAATTAATTTATTATTTATTCCGCTAATAGAAGCAAGATAGAGAAACTACCCCAATTAATTTAAACAATACTTAAAGTCGACGAATCGTGGAATTTTTGCTACGTTTTCTAACATCGTTGTTACGTGTTCTAGTAATTAATTTACACGTGTAATCTACCGATACTGTAAAGAAAGATTTTTAATATATCTCTTAGTCGTTAATTTGAACGCTTCAGTGCAACTCGCAGAAGGTTATTAAAAATCGACTAAAATATTTCTCCGCGACTCCCCTGCTCCAATCTATCTGCATATTTTCACACGTACGTCCTAAAATAAATAGACTTCGAGATGTCCGAAAAGAATCGCGATGACATTTTGTTTATCAGCGATAAACAGTCTCGATTTTCAAATTTACACGTGTACTTTCGTCAAACAGTACGAATAGATTTTTACGAGACCTTTTACTCGAGGAACGAGGTCGATCCGCGTGGAATCGATTTATTCGCGGGTTAATAGGTCGAGATTAAAATTCCATTGGAATGATGATTCCCTTTGACTCGTCGATTAGGGCTATTTTTATTTGCTATATTATCCACGAGTGATCGCGAAGGAGCAAAGGCGGTACTCCTTTCGTCGAGAAACCCGAACGCGTACAGGGAAGGTTATAACTACGTTCTATTTCGCAACTCTTTGTCCGTGGAAATTATTTAAAAGCCACGGAGTACAACGAAATTCTGCAAAAACAACGGAATGAAAATAAAATCGCCGACCGGTGAAAGAAAGACTGATTTTCTATGTTCAATTTAGCGGAAAACGACCATAGAGGAATATACATTGTAAATATTGAAATGCAACTCTGTCAAAGAATGAAATGCAGCCACCAGCTTGCACGCTATTTTGTCCCTTTTTTATTGCGCGCAAAATATTGATTTTTCATGCGCTGAAATATGATGGACAAAAGAAAATTTCTCGCGATATCGCTCGCAGCGTTTGAAAAACGATTTTCTATTTTCATCGGGGATAATTTAGTTTATTCCGTTTATCCAAAATTAATCGAAAGCTCTTGCTGAATAAAAAAAGAAGAGAGAAAATGGGAGATACTTCGTGCGAAAAAAAAGATATTTCACGTTGACGATTTTTAAATTTCATTTTCCAAAGTCTCTCTTAAAAATCCCTTATACGACGAATACGGCTATTTCCTTGTCTTCTTTCCTTTATTTTGGTATCTCTTTATATATATCATCCGTAACAAAGGCGAGTGGTTCGTTTGTCAATTTCGAAGACAGCTCAACGATTCGTAGAATCAGACGCTCGAGTGACTTTAAGACCCGCAAAACTATTACTTCTGATTGCGAGATATAGGTACTGGAAGTTATAGAACATTTCTAAGTGTATATAGAGGGCAGACTGAACATTAAGGGAGCTTCTCAACAATCTTATTCAGCATTCTGCTCCGGCACCGAAATCCGACAGAGTTTCAGGAACGTGGTTCCCCGAAAATTTTCGCCCCTGCTACAAATTGAACTTGGGACGAACAAGGAGCAATAAAACCACGTTGCTGCTACCCTTGTCAATCGGAACCGTCTAAATTGATATCTCGTTACCTTTTTTACCCGTTTTGCCCGTTAGCCGAGTAACTTTTCATTGTAAACAGGAAATTCAAGGGGGATAGAATTTAATTAAACGACAAAGTTCTGTGATAAGAAGAAAGGAGGAGAATTATTGAACTCTCTTGCACTGTTTTAATTATTTTATTCGATAATTTAATCGAAGAGATTAGTATTCTTTGCTAAAAAGTTTGAAAAAGATTATAGAAGACCTAAATATTCTTGAAAAGAATGTTTACCGTTATTGGTAAATAATAAATCATAAATATCGATATAAACGATATTACATCGATAAATATGGTATACAATATGGATGATAATTAAACAGTACAACGAAAGTAAAAGAGCATACGTGATTACGATCACGTTGAAATAAAAATCAGTATTAATTTTGCCAAAAGCACCTGCATACGCTTTGCAATTGTAAAGATAAAAAGTATAGAAGAAGTCGTTTTGATCCCTTTGCTAGCTCTAGTGTTAATAATATTTTTACTATTTATTATTTATACAATAATGATAATAATATTAATGAAATTCTACAAGTAACCAATACCGTAAATTCCTATTTTTAAACATATTATTAACAAAATTTACAGATTATCTAACATTATTAGAGGGTAAATTACCGTGCAAGGTGGTCCTAAATAATACTCCCTTCTAAACCAGAAAATGTACGTATATTCGACGTAACTTTTAAATCGATATAAGAAGTAAGAGGAAGAAAGAGGAACCGGAACATATTAGCCATTATAAATGACATCCATCGGCAACTTCCCTAGCACACGTAATCCCGATTAATCAGCAAACGCACCCCACTTGCCCAGGGTTTCTTGCCTTCGACCCTCGAGCAAGGAATAGTAGCAATAGAGAGGGAACGGTTTGTCATTCATGTGAAACGGCGGTGAAAGTTTAATTAATATCGGGATATATTGATTCATTAACGCGGATAGATGTTATCGAATCGCAGTTTACGGGGTTAACATAATTCTTTGGCTGTCATCGGGACTCCGAGCTGTCCGGCTAACCTATAAGAAACCGAGCCGGATGACGAATGGATTAATTTCGACCGCAAGAAGTTCGCCGTCGTTTTCCTCGATCCTTCGCATTTTCTTTCCGCTGGAATACGCGATCGAGGAAACGAGCAGCGTAATTCTCGCAACGACCTGCGTGTGGCGCCACCTCCGCATCACGAACACCGTGTCACGACCATTCCCATTGAAACGTATCAATTTTTCTCCCCGGTTACGTGTATTATTTGGTCGACGGTGCTCGAGTCGGCGATGAAAGACGGGGAAAAGAGAGCAGAGGAGAGAAGAGAGGGTAGTGCGAGCGAGTCACGCGATTTCAACGAGAAAAAGTCGAACGGTTCTACGAGGTTTGTCGCGCCGTGATTACCGCATTTCCCGAGCGCGGCGCTGCGATCGTGGTGGCGCCATTGTGTTCCTTGCATCGCGTAACTTAGGGCTTCTTGGTTTCGTTTTCTTCTCAGAGTGGATTCTATAAATGGTTCACGTCAAAGGGAAAAATGCGAGATATGATAATTGGCAAAGACCGGACGTTGCGAGAATTAGGGTACTATTTTTCCGCGATTACAAAAACGAAGGAAGAAACGATGGAACTTTGGTCCCTTTGGCGATTTTCTGGTATCGTTGCGGGGGAATTTTCGCTCGTTGCGTTAAGTGCACTCGGACTTTTTTCGCATGCGACGTTTCTTTACGAGGAAATTGAATGTTCCGTTTGGCGAAACTTTTTTGTAGCTTCGTTGACTAATTGATGACTAGTTTGCATAATTAAGTATCGCGTTGTTCCATGTTCGACATTGGCCTCGTTCGAATAAGTGTCGCATTTTTCTTAATTAGTACCAATTTTAGCACCCATTAACACTAGAGTTACCAATCTTTGTAACTAGATATACTACTATGTAACTCGTGACTGAAAATATTTTACACGTGGTAAGGTGACTCTTTCATGCAAAGATAAGGCATAATAATAGAACGGAATTTATTCTACTTATGCAAGGAATTATAAAATCGTAATTAAATAGGATTATAATTAAAATACCGCTACAATGAACATATTCCTAATCTTATACACAAATAAATATACTACCTCGACGAAAATTATCGTTGTATTCGCCAACTGTTGCAACCCGATCTGAAATTCATCGTCCAGACCAATGCAATATCCACTCGAAGGGAGGGAAAAAATGGGTTCATTGATAAACAAACGCGTTAAACATACGTAGAAAAAGCTCGGCGTGGGAATATTTCACGCAGGCACCGTAAAGCATCAAAGCATCAATCTTCGCGGGAACATTACGTCGTAAGCAAATAAATCTTACAGAGCTCGGCTGTTTCCCTCGCGACACGACATTTTCCCTCTTCCATGCGACCGAAAAAGCAAACAAGAAAACCGGCGTATCGCGTGACTCCTGTACCGTGTACGAAAACAAGCAGTACCGATCGAAAATTCCTTCGAGGGACGCGTACTACACGTGTACCCCGAGCGTAGGACGGCGTCCTCTCGTTGGTCGCGAAATTGCGCGTGGATTTCAGTTATCTTTCCAATTTATACCGACGAACTTGCTCGCGAGATCTCGACGGGGATAAGCTAGACGCTCGTTAAAGTTTTCCACGAGACACCGCCGCTCGAGAGAGGGAGAGAGACTGAGAGAGACACGCGCGAACAGTGAGAACGGAGACACGAAGAGGTAGAATGAGAGAGAGAGAGAGAGAGAGAGAGAGAGAGAGGCATGGAGAGAAAGAGAATGAGGGACAGACAGAAAGAGAATGAGAGACATAGACAGAGAGAGGGGCACAGAGAGATGGAGACAGAACAGAAGGGCACACAGGAAAAGGGAACGAGAGAGAAAGAGACACGAAGAGTGAGAACGAGAGAGAGAGAGAGAGACATGCGGGAAAAGGGAGACTGAGAGAGGAAATGAAACGTAAGAAAAAAAGGAAGAGAAAAATGATTGCTTCTATTAGAAAAGTTTCAGGAGTGGCAGTCGCAAAAGGCGCAGCGTAAAATTCAACAGAAGCAAGGTAAAAGGAGAGATCGAACGATGAGCAGCGGCGCATTCCTAATTATACCGGCAGTTTATCTTGTTCAGACGGTATTATTATTGCTGACACGCCTGTCGACGTGATCGTCCACTTATCGTCCTTGCCTGATCTAACGCTATCAATAGACCGTATTCGCCAGGTAAATCAGTTTCTTTTCCTCTTTCGCTGCTTTCGCCCTTGTGTTTCTTTGTTCCCTGGATGTACAATGGCGCGGTGAAGTCTCGCGAAGATTTCTTCTCCTTTCCCTCCCCCCCCCCCTTCATTTCCACCCCTTTCAAGGGTCGAATCTCAGGAAATTTTAATTAATACCGGATGAAGCGAAGATTAAGAAAAAAGATAATAAGATAAACGAGGGTCGTTGTTATTGCGTGTAGATTCGTTTAGCTAGCTTATGTTAGCTTTTTGAGAGTAGAACTATGCATTTGGAATAGGAAGCTAAGTGTACCATGTGTGTACAGAAAATGGCGATCAATGTTAGACGAAGGAAGTATGCAGGTTATAATTATAATTATTTTACTGCGATAATAATTAACAATAATTCGAAATTGGATTGGAACTAGTGATTTTTATTGGATTCCTAGTTCTAATGTTGCTATTCACTGGAAATGAATTAACGTAAATTGATTTAGTGTGAAGAAAGTCTACTCGTGTTAGTCGAAGATTTTCGACTGTTATAGTTTGTAGAAGATTAATACTGAAATAAAGAGAAAATACTGAATTCTTAAGGAGATTATTAATTAGTGTTTTTACCGAGGTCGAATGCTTTATGTTGATACCGCTACCTCGAATTTGGCCTAACTTGCCTGCAGCTTTATCTCGGTTTACCGTGCATTCTTGTTATTAATGGAAAATTATTACCGTCCGTTTGTTATTAAATCAAATTTAACAATCCTCGATACTTTCCTATTTTCCTTCTTTCTTAAAATTTATTTTAAAAACCGGAGTTTTGGATTTTTATTGAAAATATTTTATAGAACTATTAATTATTAAACGAAACGTTTACAAGATGGTAAAATTTATAGACGTTAATTGTATATTGTTTATCAATGTTTAACCAATTGCTATCGTATATCATAGATAAAACTTATATTATAAGAACGTTTAAACGTTGAATATTTTGTGACAGCATGATGTCGTTTTCCGATAAAAAGAGAAGCTAGGTGAGAATATATGGAGTCTTTCATCATCTTAAATTCATGAGGGTTTTGTCCCTGCATTCGCCTGCAAATAATGGCTGTCTAAACAAACACTCACACACCGTTTGTAAACTCTACCTAACGATATATTAATAAACGTCACGTTCGTATTTCCTAAGAAGCAAAAATAAACGATTTATTTATCGATTTACCGATTTGTAGATATAGTAATTAATAACGTTTATATTTAACATGTCACGACAAGAAAAATTTTATTTCATTTACCAAAGAATTATTCGACACTGTAAAGCTGCTAGTTCATGCTTCGAAACTTGCCAATTATAAAGTTACTTTTTCCAGTAACAATCTTAAGAAAGTTATAAGCTAAATTGCACCATTTAAAGTTCTCGCATAAAACATTCAGTGGTCCATTAATTTTGCAAAATGCTACACCAGAAGAAACCGTAACTTGGTGTCGTTCGATATGACAGTCGAGTAATAGATAGAGTTACCTATATATAACAAAGTTATGCAACGAGTTCGTTATGTCAAAGAAATCTTCATATTTATTATTTACTTAACATTTAATATTTATTTAATATTTCGTATTTAATTATATTTAATTGAATTTTCGCTCGTTGCGTTAAGTGCACTCGGACTTTTTTCGCATGCGACGTTTCTTTACGAGGAAATTGAATGTTCCGTTTGGCGAAACTTTTTTGTAGCTTCGTTGACTAATTGATGACTAGTTTGCATAATTAAGTATCGCGTTGTTCCATGTTCGACATTGGCCTCGTTCGAATAAGTGTCGCATTTTTCTTAATTAGTACCAATTTTAGCACCCATTAACACTAGAGTTACCAATCTTTGTAACTAGATATACTACTATGTAACTCGTGACTGAAAATATTTTACACGTGGTAAGGTGACTCTTTCATGCAAAGATAAGGCATAATAATAGAACGGAATTTATTCTACTTATGCAAGGAATTATAAAATCGTAATTAAATAGGATTATAATTAAAATACCGCTACAATGAACATATTCCTAATCTTATACACAAATAAATATACTACCTCGACGAAAATTATCGTTGTATTCGCCAACTGTTGCAACCCGATCTGAAATTCATCGTCCAGACCAATGCAATATCCACTCGAAGGGAGGGAAAAAATGGGTTCATTGATAAACAAACGCGTTAAACATACGTAGAAAAAGCTCGGCGTGGGAATATTTCACGCAGGCACCGTAAAGCATCAAAGCATCAATCTTCGCGGGAACATTACGTCGTAAGCAAATAAATCTTACAGAGCTCGGCTGTTTCCCTCGCGACACGACATTTTCCCTCTTCCATGCGACCGAAAAAGCAAACAAGAAAACCGGCGTATCGCGTGACTCCTGTACCGTGTACGAAAACAAGCAGTACCGATCGAAAATTCCTTCGAGGGACGCGTACTACACGTGTACCCCGAGCGTAGGACGGCGTCCTCTCGTTGGTCGCGAAATTGCGCGTGGATTTCAGTTATCTTTCCAATTTATACCGACGAACTTGCTCGCGAGATCTCGACGGGGATAAGCTAGACGCTCGTTAAAGTTTTCCACGAGACACCGCCGCTCGAGAGAGGGAGAGAGACTGAGAGAGACACGCGCGAACAGTGAGAACGGAGACACGAAGAGGTAGAATGAGAGAGAGAGAGAGAGAGAGAGAGGCATGGAGAGAAAGAGAATGAGGGACAGACAGAAAGAGAATGAGAGACATAGACAGAGAGAGGGGCACAGAGAGATGGAGACAGAACAGAAGGGCACACAGGAAAAGGGAACGAGAGAGAAAGAGACACGAAGAGTGAGAACGAGAGAGAGAGAGAGAGACATGCGGGAAAAGGGAGACTGAGAGAGGAAATGAAACGTAAGAAAAAAAGGAAGAGAAAAATGATTGCTTCTATTAGAAAAGTTTCAGGAGTGGCAGTCGCAAAAGGCGCAGCGTAAAATTCAACAGAAGCAAGGTAAAAGGAGAGATCGAACGATGAGCAGCGGCGCATTCCTAATTATACCGGCAGTTTATCTTGTTCAGACGGTATTATTATTGCTGACACGCCTGTCGACGTGATCGTCCACTTATCGTCCTTGCCTGATCTAACGCTATCAATAGACCGTATTCGCCAGGTAAATCAGTTTCTTTTCCTCTTTCGCTGCTTTCGCCCTTGTGTTTCTTTGTTCCCTGGATGTACAATGGCGCGGTGAAGTCTCGCGAAGATTTCTTCTCCTTTCCCTCCCCCCCCCCCTTCATTTCCACCCCTTTCAAGGGTCGAATCTCAGGAAATTTTAATTAATACCGGATGAAGCGAAGATTAAGAAAAAAGATAATAAGATAAACGAGGGTCGTTGTTATTGCGTGTAGATTCGTTTAGCTAGCTTATGTTAGCTTTTTGAGAGTAGAACTATGCATTTGGAATAGGAAGCTAAGTGTACCATGTGTGTACAGAAAATGGCGATCAATGTTAGACGAAGGAAGTATGCAGGTTATAATTATAATTATTTTACTGCGATAATAATTAACAATAATTCGAAATTGGATTGGAACTAGTGATTTTTATTGGATTCCTAGTTCTAATGTTGCTATTCACTGGAAATGAATTAACGTAAATTGATTTAGTGTGAAGAAAGTCTACTCGTGTTAGTCGAAGATTTTCGACTGTTATAGTTTGTAGAAGATTAATACTGAAATAAAGAGAAAATACTGAATTCTTAAGGAGATTATTAATTAGTGTTTTTACCGAGGTCGAATGCTTTATGTTGATACCGCTACCTCGAATTTGGCCTAACTTGCCTGCAGCTTTATCTCGGTTTACCGTGCATTCTTGTTATTAATGGAAAATTATTACCGTCCGTTTGTTATTAAATCAAATTTAACAATCCTCGATACTTTCCTATTTTCCTTCTTTCTTAAAATTTATTTTAAAAACCGGAGTTTTGGATTTTTATTGAAAATATTTTATAGAACTATTAATTATTAAACGAAACGTTTACAAGATGGTAAAATTTATAGACGTTAATTGTATATTGTTTATCAATGTTTAACCAATTGCTATCGTATATCATAGATAAAACTTATATTATAAGAACGTTTAAACGTTGAATATTTTGTGACAGCATGATGTCGTTTTCCGATAAAAAGAGAAGCTAGGTGAGAATATATGGAGTCTTTCATCATCTTAAATTCATGAGGGTTTTGTCCCTGCATTCGCCTGCAAATAATGGCTGTCTAAACAAACACTCACACACCGTTTGTAAACTCTACCTAACGATATATTAATAAACGTCACGTTCGTATTTCCTAAGAAGCAAAAATAAACGATTTATTTATCGATTTACCGATTTGTAGATATAGTAATTAATAACGTTTATATTTAACATGTCACGACAAGAAAAATTTTATTTCATTTACCAAAGAATTATTCGACACTGTAAAGCTGCTAGTTCATGCTTCGAAACTTGCCAATTATAAAGTTACTTTTTCCAGTAACAATCTTAAGAAAGTTATAAGCTAAATTGCACCATTTAAAGTTCTCGCATAAAACATTCAGTGGTCCATTAATTTTGCAAAATGCTACACCAGAAGAAACCGTAACTTGGTGTCGTTCGATATGACAGTCGAGTAATAGATAGAGTTACCTATATATAACAAAGTTATGCAACGAGTTCGTTATGTCAAAGAAATCTTCGTATTTATTATTTACTTAACATTTAATATTTATTTAATATTTCGTATTTAATTATATTTAATATTTGTATTTAATATTTATTTAACATTTCCCGAATTAATTTTATTATAGGAATTTTGCTTTCCACAATCTTCAAATAAAAATGTAAATAAATATATTAAAATAATATATAATATTTTAACGACATACGTATGTGTAGTATATTATATATTAATATAATTTCC